AGGCAATATCTTCTGTTGTTTCAAAGCGATATAAGAACAAAACTTACATGACCAGATTTGTGATACATGGGTCTACTTAAATGTTTAAAACATAGGTTCCCAAACATATTTGGCCTACATTGACCTTTTCAGAGAAAAAAATTACGCAGCTCCCCACTGGCAATTCGAAATTTTTGTACTGTAGCCTATAATCTAAGATAAGGTATAAGTATCTGCTTTTGCTATATCTACTCCCTCTGGGGTCATTCCAGCACTCATCGGAGGGTAGTATCACCCACTTTAAGAAACACTAATTTAAAGGAAGGGGCCCTTGGCGGCATAGTGGGTATGCATTGGGCTGATAACTGCAAGCCCAGCAGTTTGAAACTGCCAGCCCCTCCATGGGAGGAAAATTAGGCTTTATACTCCCATGAAGAGTTAGTCAGGGCAAATCACGGGGCAGTTCTACCCTGTCGCACAGGGTCCCTGTGTGTCAGCAGCAATTGGACCACAGAGAGTGTTTGGAATGTAAAGAAATTATATATATATGTTTAAATATAACTCTGAGAAGAGAGTCATAGATAGTTATTTTAGTATTCAATGCTAACTTGGCTCTTGTTGTATATAACAGCCTTATTTTAATCTTTTCATTAAGTTTTTAAGGTAGCAATTACCTCTTTTTTTTATTTTTAAAGAAACTGAGACTCTCAGGGTTCAAAAAAGTTGCCGAAGCGCATAGGGCCAACAGGAAGGAGAGCTTTGATTCACATGGGGGTCTGTTGGAATAGAGCACCAGTATAATTGCTATTATTACTATTATTATATTGGGCCATTACTCCCTCTTGCCTCCTGTGGCACTTAATTCACTTTGTGTTCTGCCCCCGCAGGAGTTCGATGACTTGTCCCTCTTGAGCTAGCTGCTTAAATTGTGGTCCAAATTTTTGCCTGTGCTCACTGTACAATTTTTCAGTTCAGTTACAGAGCAAAAGCATATTTTGAAAAAGTGAAGTTTACAGATACACCTATGGAAGTCAAGAACAGGTTCCCCCCTGTAATTCAAGGACACATGGACTATAAAGGACAGAAGCCTGCACATTTTCCCAATTTTCTTGGATAATGCCATGGAGCATAGGTTACCCAGCTTACTTGGTTTATTGCTGCCTTTTTAGACAAAAAGAGAATAGAAAATCAGCCCCTCACCCCCCCGAAATTAAAAACCTTTGTATTATAGCCCATAATCCAAGATAAAATACAGGCATCTGCTTTTGCAGCACCCTCTGAATCAATCTAGTGTGCTGTAGGGGCGGTATTGCCCACTTTGGGAAACGCTGACATAAAGCAAGAATAGGGTCAGAAAAAGAACTATACATGCACCTACTCCTTTGCTTGACTCCTAGTGGAAGAGTGGAGAAGAACCAGCCCAGGAAGCAGAACATGATTACCCGAGGGTAATATCCGTCCTATCACGAGACCATAGCCTCCTGGGACTGCAATGAGAATGTCCAAGGCTGTTTGGGGGGCACAACTTTTCTCTTCGTTGAAATTTTGGTATTGATCTTTAGAAGCCATGGGGCACTGTCCTTTAGGGCCCTTTGCACATATTGGGTTACTCTTTCTGCAGGAGCCAAACCAAACTCACTGCTATGAAGTCAGTTCTGACACATAGCGACCCTCTTGGACAGGGTAGAACTGCCCCTGTGGGTTTCCAAGACAGTAACTCTGGATGGGAGTAGTAAGTCTCATCTTTACTCCCTTCAAAAAGTTCATAGGAAATTCCCCTTTGCTTTTCATTCCATTTTCACGCAAACTTTTTGAAGCCTCCACTGCCCCTAAAATCTAAACTGCGTGACTTGGCTTTCCAGTTTGCCACACTTAAACTTTTCCTGCTCTCTGCCCCACCCAAACTGAAATGTATTGCCCATCCTTTTGCATAGTATTTTGCTACAATGTACACACACACACACACACAAATCAAGAACACTTTAAAATGCATGTTAATGCGATCCATTGCCATCGATCTTTTGAGGGAAAAGCACAAATATAAATGATGGTACCTAAACCAAGCCTGTAGAGCAGAGCACAAGTACCGCACCGAGTTCCTGGGAGCCTATGGAAGCAAACAGTCTCACTTTCTCCTGATGTTATAAGTATCAGCAAATAAGTTCACACAATTTCCAACGTCACTGGTCAAATTCAGTTTTTCCTCATTGACAGGATGCTTCACCTTCCTCAGTGGATTGAGATTTTCCCTCTCTCTTTCTCAGACTACAGGGCAAGTCTTACTGCTCCAAGAAGCCTCCCCACCTGCTCCGACCCCATTTCTCCCAACTTTACTTGGATCTTAACATGAGAGTTTCAATTGGGACCAAGTCTGGCCTGAATTCCCTGGATGTGAGTCTTGTCCAGCTGCATCCCACTGACTGACCTCGAGTAAGTCACTTATCTCTGACCCTGGGTTTCTGCCTCTGGAATGCGCAAACAAGACTACCATTGTAAGGAGTCCTGGTGTTCAAGCGCTTGGTTAACGTAAAGGTGGGTAGTTCAAACCCATCCGACAGCTCCATCATACAGACTTGCGATCTGCCTCTGTAGGAGCACAGCCAAGAACAGGACAGCTCTACTCTGTCAGATGGATCCCTACACGCCAGAACGGATGCAGTGGCTCCCAATAACAACCACCGCATCTTGCACATTGGGACCCTCATGGCTAACTAAAATCCTGGAAGGCCATCTAAAAGCTTGTGGGAAAATTGGACAAAAAGATAATGAAATTTTCCCATGAACGTTTAAAAGCCCAGTTTGTGTGTGAATGTGTGTGTATGGATTTACACCTCCCTCCCATAAAAAAGGGTTATTTTATTTTATTTTATTTCTCTTTTTTAACATTTTATTAGGGGCTCATACAACTGTTATCTCAATCCATACACACATCAATTGTGTAAAGCGCATTTGTACATCGTTTCTCAAAACATTTTCTCTCCATTTAAACCCCCGACATTAGGTCCTCATTTTCCCCCTCCCTCCCCGCTCCCCCCTCCCGCATGAGCCCTTGATAGTTTATAAATGGGTATTTTGTCATATCTTGCCCTGTCCGACGTCTCCCTTCATCCACTTTTTGGTTGTCTGTCCCCCAGGGAGGAGGTCACACACAGTTCCATGTAATCGGTTCCCTCTTTCCTACCCATTCTCCCTTTACCCTCCCTGTTTTGCCACTCACACCACTGGTCCTATAGGGCTCATCCGTCCTGGATTCCCTGTATTTTCAGTTCCTATCTGTACCAGTATACCTCCTCTGGTCTAGCCAGTCTTGCAAGATAGAATTCAAGTCATGGTAGTGGGAGCGGGGAGGAAACCTTTAGGAACTAGAGGAAGGTTGTATTTATCATCATTGTTACATTGCACCCTGACTGGCTCATCTCCTCCCCGAGACCCCTCTGCAAGGGTTATTTTAAAGCAATATTGTCCTGGTTAAGAATGCCGATTCTGGGCTCAAACCTTGATTTTGCCACTTACTGTGTTAGCTTGGATGAATTTCCCAATGGAACTGTCAAGGAATTGGTTTCTCTATTTGGAGAGTGGAAATGATGGGTTTTGTATGAGGAATGAATGTGTGTAAAGCACCTACATGCTGTGACCCTTTAATACAGTTCCTCATGTTGCGGTGACCCCCCCAACCATAAAATTATTTTCGTTGCTACTTCACTGTAATTTTGCTACTGTTATGAATTGGGCGACCCCTGTGAAAGGGTTGTGTAACCCCCAAAGGGGTCTGGACCCGCAGGTTGAGAACCACTGGCCTAGACCATTGGCTAGGGGAGAGTGCTAAGACATGACAACTGTTTTCTCGTAGAGCAAATATCAGGCATTCAACAAACAAACACGGCTTCTTCCTCACTTCTGGATGGCCCTGGGTGTTTGTCTCTACACTACCCTTCCTACAACAGAGTCAGTGGCCTATAGGTCCTTCCGCCCTGGAGCCTTGTACCCTGAGGAGCATGAGCAGGCTCTCGGGAGTCATTGCTGCTGGTGGACTCCGTGTCATGGGCCAGCAGGAAGAAGAGGCCTTTTCCCAACTGCCTGAAGCAGGAGATGGTGAACAAGATGGATTGGCACAGTGGCGGTAGTGGGCTCAAACAGAGCACCGTTGGGAGGGCAGCCATGGACTGGGCATCATTTCATTCTGCGGTATGTAGAACTGCGGGAAGCTTCAAGGCACAACGAACAACCACAGAGTTACAGAAAGGAGCCCTGGTGGGCACCCAGGAAGCCCTCGGTTGCTAACCCGAACATTAGTTATTGAGCCCCGGCCTATGCCTTGGTCAAGCAACAGCCTAGAAAACCCTATGCGGCAATTCTCCTGTTACATGGGGTGCTGGGAGTCAGAATGCTGCGAGGGCTTTTAACAACAACAACAACAACATAGTTACAGAGGCAAAGTTTTCCACACCAAAGTCCTGTGGCAACCATAAGGGGAAGGAGAGCTTGGGGCTAAAGTTGGAGGGTTGGGTGAGAAAGTGGGGGTCCATTCCCTGTCTCTTTTCACCCCTCTGGCCTTGTGCCCTCTCTCTGCACTCTTTTCATTAGGTTCCTGGGACCAGAAGCTCCCAGCCCAGGCCTGGAAGTGGTGGGGTGAGGACCAGCGGGCCTCACCTGCCCTGTCCATCCAAGGTTTGTCCCGTGCCCATCCGGTGACCCAGCCAGGCAGACAGAGTCAGGCTTGCCCGCTCCACCCCCCCTCTCACCCCCCTTCCAGCCAGCAGCCACTCCCTGTCCTGGCACTGCCACACCTTCCCAGGCCCCTGCAAGGGTTAAGGCGGCCAGGAGCAGAGGTTTGGGCTGACGTCCCTGGGCCGAAGGTGGTTCCCCTCGGGTGAGGATGGGAGAGCGTGTGGCTGAAACCTGAGCTCCCGCTCAGCTGGGCTTGGGGAGGTCCCTGTAAGAGCCGCCCGCTGCCTCGCCTCCCACCCGCGGTCCCTCCTGCGCCAGCAGTCGCTGGGGCGGCACCGCTGCGGGGAAGATGGAGCTGGGCTGGTGGGCGCAGCTGGGGGTCTCTTTCCTGCAGCTCCTTCTCATCGCGTCCTGGCCCAGAGGTACTGTGGGTGGCGGTCAGGACCCGGAGGGGGACCCCCTTCCCGGGTCTGGGAGGGAGCAGCGGCTCTCCGTGGGGTGATTCAGGAGTGCGCTGGCTGGGAGGAGTGGTGGTGGGGAGGGGGCTTCTTGTGGGTTCGTGGGAGGAGTTGGGGTGCGGGTGAGGGGCGGTGCCGGACTGCCTAACACCCACACCCGCCCTGAGATTGGGTTTGTCCTCTCCACTCCTGAAGCTCAGCCGGACGACGGGTTTTACTAGTTCTTTTCGATTCATTTATCTTTAAAGCGCACAATCGCCTACCCTAGAGGAATCAAGTCCGTGCTGAGTTCTCCACTTGAACTTGTCAGATGCGAAGTTTCCCTTGGAGAGTGCTCCCTCCCTCCGAGGTGAGGTGAGCAGGGCGGGAAGAAAGGGCTTGCAGTAAGCAAAACCAGCACTCGCTCTCTGTCCCTGGTCATGAGTGTTGCTGGGACTCTTTAGCGCAGACCCCAGCACAGGGCCCCCTCCCACGCAGCCTGCGTCCCTACCTTGATAAGGATGGGCAAGATGCCCGGGGAAACGTGCACGCTGGTTCTGGGATGCACAGTGTTTGTCTGGAGAGAGCGCTGGCTTTGTTTTTTGTTTTCTGTTTCACATGCCACTTTTAGAGCCACCAACCCCATGGAAAGCCTCCCACTCCCCAACCCCCACCTCAGGCCAGATAAGGCTGGGATGGTCCTGGGAGCCTCTGACCCAGCTGAGGACAGAACAAGGTGATGGCCTGTCTTGCAATTGCTCGCTGGCGCCCAGGGAAGAGGGGACGTGTTAGCGTCTGTCTGTCTCTTTTGTTGGAGGGGTGAGGCATCAGGAAGTGAGAGGAGCCTTTCTGGGGTAAAAGTATGGGCAGCCATGCGCAGTGTGGACAGATCTGGTCAGTTTGGGGCAGGGCAGAGTATGCATGGGGCTTACTGCTTTCCCTTTTGTGGGCTACCTGTCACCTCTACTCTGTCTGAGTCGGGCTTGCTCCATCTCGACAAGGCTCTGCTAAGTGGCTGAGAATACAACAGGGTACTGAGAGGATGAGAATTCTAAATGCAATATCCGGTTGTCTAGGAGGGGGCCACAGCCTAAGGTCACATTTCTTTATGAGCAACACAAAGCTAGGACACATGAAACCTGCCCCTTTGGGCCAACACTCTGCATCTACAAACAGCTTGCCTTCTGGGTGGTATAAAGGATTCTTGTGCTCGGCTGCTGAGTAAGGTCTGGGCCCACCTAGAGGGGTCCTGGAGTGTCTACTTCTGAGAAACCACTCACTGAAAACCCCGTGGAACACCATTCCATGCTGATACACGGAGGTCAAGGGGGTCAGGATCAACTTGATGGCATCTAGTTAACAGGTCGCTGGCCTGTGACCTTATAAGCCCACACACCTGCCCCAGTAGCCACGTTGGTGGCCTTGCATGAAGTCCTCGGCCTTCCCTGTTCCAGCTCTGCCTTTCAGAGCCACCTCTCCAGAGGCAGGTGGCCTTCGCCCACCTCCAGAAGACCCTGAACCCTTCCACAAGCACCAGTGTCCAAGGACTAGCTTCCTCCTGATGGCTGCATGGACCACGCCCTGCATGCTCTGTATACCATGACACGTGAGGAGGTTCAAACCCATAAGAGTTAACATGAAGCAAGACAAAACAGCTCAACTGCCTCTTTTGACTGGCTCAGGATCCCAACCATCCACTGAGGCCACCTGGAGGATCTCTTTGTACCGTGCACTGCTGGGGAAACACTTCAGGCAGGGCGTGCAAAGTGTTGGCTGCCACAACTGCCCACCAAACCAGAGAGGGTCTCAGTGTGTTTAGCACCGGACTTTGGACCGACTCATTTTTCTATCTGGACTCCTTGCTGAGAGTTTGCTTTTCCACGTCCAATCTACTGAATCGGAATCTCCGTTTTAACCAGATGCCTGGTGTGCCAGATGTAGACATCAGCCTTGTAGATGAGCAGAGCGATTTCAGTTGTTTGGCTTCGTGTGCAGAGGGAACCAAGGGAACAGAGTGGAGGGGATGAGCGTGGGGGGGTGGGGGCAGTTCTTCTAGCTCTCCTGGAATTCCGTCTAGCTTTGTCGAGGAAAGCATGGACACGTATTTCTTCTGTCTTACTACTTAGAGAGAAGAAAGGATCAGATGGCATCTAAACAGCCAGTGGGATGCCACAGGAGCTTGTTGTGTTCGGCATCAGGGGAGACATGCTCTAGGACAGGAATCTAAACCCAAGGCCAAAGGAGAAGCCCACATACACAACACGTGAGGGGAGAAAGCCAACTCTCCTGACCTCCCCTATGGCAGGAGCCCTGCCAGCCTGATTCCGCTGGGGAGGAAACCCTCATTTAAAACGCGTGGCTCTGGGGAATGAGACTTTAATATGGATGACTTCACAAGTCTCGCTTCCAGCAGACATTGGCTCCTGGGGAAGGCACAGGAATGCGATGGGGGAGCTGGTTTGAAGCGCAGTTCCTTCAGTGGCAGGAGCAGCCAGCTGAGGAAGGCAGAGCAGGAGGGTCGGGTCAGGGGAGCAAGAAAGCGGAGCTGTGCGGCTTCCGTGGGGCGTGCTGGAAAATCCAAGGAGGGGCTGTGAAAGTTGTGCCTCCTTGGCAGAGGCGGGGTTTTGCGGTGGCCACGGAGAGTGAGTTCCCCTAATATATACTTGGAGAGCTTCTGGCTTCTCCAAGGGGAAAATAATTTGCTGATGGAATCATGGATTGTTGAAGCTGGGAGGGACTTTGGGGGCCATTTAGTCCGAGTCCCTCCATTGCAGAGGAACAATGAGCTGAAGAATCAAGCTGGCTTTTCGTCACTGACCTAAATCCTTGACACACGTTCACTCTCAGCCCCCAGAAGAGGTTGTTAGCTGCTGCTGGGCCAGTCTGGACTTTGAGTGACCCCCACAGGCTTCTCTCTTGGCTGTAATCCTCACAGGAGCCGAAGTGGAGGTCTTTCTCCTGTGGAGTTGCTGGGTGGGATAGAACCTCCAACCTTTGGATTCACAGCCTGATTGAAATTGCCTGGAGAGCACACTCCAGTGAGGTGGGTGCTCATCTTACCATTTTGCAGATGGGGCTCCGAGAGCTTCTGTGACCTCCTTGAGGCTCTGCAGGTAGATTAGTGGAACCCAGGGTGAGCCTGGAGTATCCAGTTCTTCAGCCCAAGCTCACCTGTTATCTAGCTGAGTTAGGCTCATCCATTGGGTACACTGATCGACTCTGGATACAAGCCTAACGGTGATGTGGCTTCAGGATACACAGGAGAAGGGGAGGGAGAGTCCTTGCTTGCCCCCATGTTATGGCCACTGTCGGTCCACTGGTGGCTGGCTGTGGCCAGGAGGGAGAGAGTAAAGCTGAAGTTCTGCGGGCTGGCAGCCTTTGGGCCCAAACGCCTGTGAATGTATGTAGTAAGGCACCTTCAGTAAGTCACTGTTTAAATGTGAATGCCTTTGGTGAGGCCGTGTCCTCTCCAAGGTCAGACATCCCACCTCTGAGCCCACATGATTGCTACTTGCTGGTCCCTGCTTGCACTGGAGGTTTGGACCTCTGCTGCCTGAGACGGTGGGACCAGAAACAAAGAGGGAGGGAGAGAGAGAGAGGGGGTGGAAGGCTAAGTGCGGAGTGAGGGGAAATTCAGCTTAAGGATTGAATGGCTGAATGGACTCTTGAAAGCAGAAACATCTAACATACTTTGTGGAACATAATTCTCCTTCTCCCTCTGATCTTCAACACATTGGCAAAATGCTTTCCTCTCACGAATGCCCCAGCCTGTGAGCTCTTGGTGGAAACTGAAGACTAGGCTGGGCATTATATCTGGATTAACAAGCTGCAGACAAACAGCACCTGGTGACATGGGTGCATGAGGTTTCTTGAGTGGGTAATCCTTCAGTTCTTGGCTTCGCACGATAAAGAATTCATGCCGAAGCCTGGTTTGTAATCCAAGTGAGTGTTTATGAAAGTTGAGTGATCCTGCTAGTATTCAAAATACCAGCTGGCATAGCCTCTGGCCTCACTGAACCACTGAACCACCAGAAAACAAGACACGGACAAGGAGGCGACGCTCTATATGTTTTACATGTGTTTGTTTAATCCTTACAGCACACGAAGGAGATAAGAGCTATTGTTACTAACCTCCTGTCCACCTTGAGGAACTTAAGCAGAAATTGCTTCAAGATGAAATCACCTAGCTGGATGTCTGTGTTTTAAACCTAGACAGCCTGGCACCATACACATCCCTGAAACATTACATAAAGTTCCCACAATTAGCAATATTTGTATGGTAGACCTGTTGGTTGTATTATGGCCAAGAAAATACAAGATAAAAGTAAGATAAAGAGGGTGGTCATGATTATGCCAGTAGTAATTTTTTTAAAAATCTGGTTATTCCTTGGACACTCCAAGGCCTGGGATGAACAGCGAAAGCATTTTGTTTCTCTTTGTTGGCCTCACAGTTGATGGATCCAGGGGAAGGAGACGCTATCTTCTTCCATCGGTACCAAGATGGGTTTTGAATGGGGATTCGTCGTCTGCTAGACGATGATGTTCTAAGTCTTAGCTCAACTGGCTTCATGGAAATGGACATCTTATCTGAGCAGCAGATGAAGACACCATCTTCCGTCTCTCGTAGAGTGCTGGTGACCCTGGGGGAAGCTTGGGACTGCTAGATGCCAGGTTAGCGGTTCAGACTCACCAGCTGCTCTGTGGGAGAAAGACGAGTTTGTCTGCTCACATAAAGCTTTGTTGTTAGGTTCTGACGCTTAGAAACCCTGTGTACAATAGAAGGCAACACGGCCCTGTCCGGCCCACCCGCACAATTGTTCTTTATGTTTGAGTCCGTTGGAGCCACTGTGTCAATCTAGCTTGTCAAGCGTGTTCCTCTTCTTTGCTGCCCCTCCACTTTAATCGCAGGATTCCTGGTGGTACAGCGGTTACACATTGGGCTCCAATTCACATGGTCAGCAGTTCGAAACCAGCAGCAGTTTGAA